CGTCGCACATTTGTACATTGAATAGTAGAGTTATGTTCCTTTATCAGTAGACCATTGTACTGGACACAGGACCCGTAGCTGACATGGAATCAAATGGTGTGTGGTGTGTGTCTGTGTGTGTGTATATGTATATGTGTTTATAAATGTGTGTGTATACATGTATGTATGTATGTGTGTCTGTATATATATCTCTATATATGTATGTACATGTATGTATGTATGTATGTATGTATGTATGTATGTATGTATGTAATGTAAGTATGTATGTATGTATGTATGTATGTATGTATGTATGTATGTATGTATGTATGTAATTGAGTGAGTGAGTGAGTGAGTTAAGTTTAACGCCGTTTTAACAGTATTCCAGTTATATCACGGCGTGTCAGCTTAATGTGGGGAGGAAGCCCGAAGTGATCCAGGTCACAGACGTTTACCACTTCGGTGAAACCCACGAGCACGGGTATGGTGCTGACAAACCTAGAAACATAATCGGGGCGAACCCGGATTCGAACCCACAATCATAGGTTTCTGGCATGCCCAAGGGACGCAACATGTATGTATGTATGTATGTATGTATGTATGTATTGTATGTATGTATGTATGTATGTATGTATGTATGTATGTACGTGTGTGTATGAGAGTATGTACGTGTGTGTATGTTTGATTATGCATGTTTGTGTGTGTTTTATTATGATCACTGCAAGAATGGAACATTGGAGATACTTAGCACCATGAAATATATTTTCATAAACTCGTACTGAAGACATAGCTAAGTATGTCAGCTGCTCTGAATCCGTGAAAGTATTTACCTTTGAATAAAGTATAAATATATAAAGCACTTTAGTATAATATTGATTAATGGCAGGTGTAAATTACTGTAATGTATAACTTGCTTTTGAACCATACTGACCTTATGAATGACGTGAGAAATAGCCGAAGAGCTCCAAGAACCACTGGTAACAGTTTGTTAAATGAAAGGGATAGTTAACAACGCATCCGGAGAGAACTCCAAACAAGCAGTCATTGTCAGCCTTCATTCACCACCAATGCGTCACAGACGTAAATGTAAATTGAGGACCGTCAGATAATATTCGTTGCTTTAAGACACAGATTCAGTTCATAATTAAATGAATGTTGAGTTTAGTGACAATCGCTTGCAGGTGATTAAGTGGTGAAAAGTTGGCAATCGTGTTTGCAAGCTACAGGAAAAAAACGTCATCGGACAGTGAAGAGCATCAAGATAACTGCAGATGACAAACATTTAATGTGCGGTCAGCAAGTGATTTCCAGCTATATGATGGCTCTCCTTGGTATAAAGATCATGTGTATCGATCCATGGAGTTTGGAACCATGAGAAGCAGTCCACCAAGTCACCGAGCCTGACCACCCGATCCAATATGTCGCTTCTCACAACAATCATAGGTTGGTGGGGATGAATTCTTACCCCAAAATGCCTACGTTGAAGAACTTAGTGGGTACGGCTTCATGTGCATTAGCGAATCGGGGTGATTCTCGATTGTACAAATTGCTGAGTCAAACCAGCAGTGTAGCATAGACAGTGAAACCTGGTGGATTAGTATGGATGGCACCATCTACAGCCACAGGACAGACCCTCATCCGTTGTATGGCAAGGGGTTCTTTATCGTACCTGGGTACTGCTTTAGCCAACTAAAAGTTATGATCTCAGCTTCATGATCATATGTAGGATGAATTTGAACGTCGTGCCGACCGACAACCCCGCAGCACCTCATATACTAGATGCATACGGATTAGTCGTTGGTTTGAATTCCACCAGGCCCACGCACAGCTGGTGTACCAGTGGTTGCTTTAAGGAATGGGAGCACGCTGGTGCTGACTTGGCCAGCCGAGAATCCGGAACTCAGTGCTCAGGAACACGTAAGGGATACATTCGTGTGCACCAACGTCCTATAGCGCCTCAAAGTCTGGTGACACCACTCATGTCACTTCCTTGTCACAAAGTCATAGCTGTTGAACATAAATCATTGCTATTATTTTGTCCTTAGGTCATTGTGATCTTATGGGCTTATTATTCTCCGTAAGTACGAGCTGATTTGTCTCGATTATGTTTCTTGGTTTGTAAGCACCAGGTAACCGTGCTCGTTGTTTTCAGCGAGTTAAACCCAACTCACTCACTCATTCATAATTTATTTTAATATTGTTATACAGTTATGATATTGGGCCGTTTTGCAAGTGTTTGGGGCCGTTTTGTCTTGAGTTCGTTTGTTTGGACTGGGTTTTGCGCATTCCAACAATGTTACAAGTAAGATCTCCTCGACAAATCAGAGAGCACTTTGAACCCGCAGTTCAACGACGGCGACAGGGGACACTCTGAGCCAGCAATAAGAAACGGACCATCTGCAGTCGACACGTAAGACAATACAGACAGTTTGGTTTTCTAAACTTGCAGCACAAACATATTATGAAGTTATGGCACCATCTGTATATACAGACACATTTATTTCAGGGTTCTGGGGGCACGGGTGGCCCAGGTCGTCTAAGGCGCCGCGATTCGCTCTACCGAGTTGTGTCCCTTTGGGGTGCCAGAAACATATGATTGTGGGTTCGAATCCCGGTTCGTACCGATTATGTTTTTAGGTTTGTCAGCACCATATCCGTGCTCGTGGGTTTCTCTGAGACCTGCATCACTTCGGGTGCTTTCCTCCCACATTAGCTGACACGCCGCGATATAACTGGGAATACTGTTAAAACGGCGTTAAACCCAACTCACTCACTCACTATTCAGGTTCAAGTGACAGGAATCAGGCCTAGCTGCGAAATCGTAAACTAGGTATTCGATCCGATAATGTCCGACATCACTACTGCCTCTGGGCGGTCTGGTAGCCTAGTGGTTAAAGCGTTCGCTCGTCACGCCGAGGACCCGGGTTCGAATCCCGATATGGTAC